TCAGTGACAGTCTATACACGCACACAGCCATTGTAGTCTTCTCTTTTCTTACAAAGAGCTCAAAGCTTCCTTTCTCAGTTGCTGAGTAAGAAAAGAGTTAGGGTGCAAAGCTGAGCAAATGCCAAGGTTCTGCAACAAGAAGACTTACATGTCTGTTAAATGAAGGAGAAACTTGCAAAAGAATGTGAAGTTTAATTATTGCAACATCCATATTTTTATTTCTAGTGAATTTTGTAATATTTAAAGACATAAAAATACAAAACTGTTTGGGGGGAGGGGGATACAAATGACTTCATCAAAGACTAATTTAATTTTGAGAATTTGATACCAAAGAGGCTTAATATAATGTTTTCTATGCCATCTCTGTTTTTGTTCTGTACTGTAACTTCACTATTTGAAATATGAAACCCTGTAGTTTCTGTAGTTAGTGCTTAAGGCAGAAAGATAATTGTGTTAGGGTATTCTGAGTTGGTTTAAGTTAAAATAAAAAATGGCAACATTCCCTAAAGATTAATGGAATTTTTTTGGTTGACAACACAATCCAAGCTTTGACAACAAAAATCCCAAAGCATTTCTAGTAACCTTTTTAACTAACTGAATCAGTACCTGATGTAGAAGCTGCTTAAATATTAAACAGCAAAAACTATAAAAAATGCCTGACTGTCTTTGATTTACAAAATGAGGCAGAAGTAAAATCTACTTTCTGTTTTAAATGTTTATGTTTAAATACTGATGACAACATGGGGCATAACATAATATTTTCCATTCCCCTTTGCTCAGGACAGAGGCATGAAGAAACAGTATTGTATTTCTATATGTTAGATTTCTAGATTATCACTAGCACAGTCTATGTCAGTTTTCTAGATTACCAATAGCATGGTCTATGTCAGTTTTCCAGTTTATCACCAGCACTGTCTTTGTCTCGTTTCTGGATTATTGCCAGCGTTGTCTTTGTCAGATTTCTAGATTGTCACGGGCACCATCTTTGCCCATTTTCTATTTTATCACCAGCACTGTCTCTCTCAATTTTATAGAAACGTCTTTGTTCACCCGATCCTGTTTATTTTTTGGAAGAAAGGGTTACTGAGCAACATTTAAAAATTCAGATTTACCCTAAAACCTGACTAGCTTTCTTTCGTCGTTGAGAATCCAAGAATGTGAGTATCTGAAGCAGAGTAAGACATTACAACACTTGTTATGTTGGAATGGAATGCACAGTGGATTATCTTTTCAATGCACATAATCAGTGAGACAATTAAACAACAAAAAAATGTCTCTTTATAGACTTTGACCTTTTAACTACACTGGGTTTGTATACTGCCCAGAAAAGCAAAGAATTTCAGTTCCTTTTTAGAAGCTCACAAACCAAAACAAAAAAGCCTATTATGCTCTATTGGGATATATGCTTAACAGAAAATACCAAACATGCTTATTAAAATATTTTTTTAGTCTAAGAACAAAAATTCCATTAACAGGAGGCAAGGACCATGCAATTTATACTACTGTATATGCACACACTGCACACCCAAACCAGTGAAAAGTTTTACAGAAAGTAAACATATAGTTAAATGGCAAAATAAAAGAAAAAGCATGTTACACAACTTTGTGTACACTCGTGTTAGAAATGATCAGGACTTTTTGAAATAATTCCTAGTGAGAACACATGTGAGAACACATTATTCAAAGCAATACCATTGCTCTAAGAAGGAAGATGGATGAACTTTGTCAGTTTTCTAGATGATAACTAGCGCAGTCTTTGTCCAATTTCTAATTTTCTAGATTATCGCTAGCAGTCTATGTCAATTTTCTAGATTATCACTAGCACATAATCTATGATGATTGTGTACAATTAATTACCCTTTCACACACATTGGCACTCTGAAGGAAATTGTGAGAAGAGGCAGCTTCACAAAGAGTGCAATTAACAGATGCAGAAAAATTGGTAACTCCACAAATTGAAATGGCCAAGGCAGAAAGGGGTCAATTTCCTCGAGAAGGCAGAGAGTAAAGGTGTACTATCAGAAACCTTGAGTTAACAGCCAACTTTCATTCCTCGTTAAATACTTCCATATAACAAGGAAACTAGAGAAATGCCAGTGAGACACAAGTAAGGTGGGAAGAGCTGCTGAGTAAATGGGGTACATTTGCAAAGGGATAATCATCATCATTCAATACCTTCAGACAAGAAAGACAAGATGAAGGGCTGTTTTTAACATCATAATGACTCTGAACTCAACTTAAACAACATAAATCAGACCAAATAATGGGTTTTGAATGTGATCTCCACAGTGATGTTAACCCCTTTAAAATGTCAGGGGATGACAAAATAGTAGGGATGTACTTAGTTGTGCCATGTTAGATTTTCCAGAATGTGTCAATTATTTCTCCCCTAACGTTGTTTTAGGTGGGACTGCAAAAACATTAGCAGAAAGGGAACAGGTTTTTGGAGATTTGCCAGTCATTTTCGTCATCACATACAAAGTGGCAGAGCAGAACTGTATCCTGGCAAGGGGCTTTCTGAACAGAAGGACACATTCTAGAACGTCTTTCATTTTATATATAAAACCATTATAGCGGAATTAAGAGTGCAGAAGCAATTCTAGGTTTGCTACACCAGATGTGGCGACTTCACTACAGACAAACCTCAACTGTAAAAGCACAAGTCCAGCTCACCAGTTTATCGGTTTACATTAGGGCTGTAGAGAACAGAGATATCAAAAAATGCTCTCCAAGAGTGTATTCAGGATGGTAATTAGCTTCCAGAGAATTACCCACCGCAAGAGACACCTTGTATATTGTAAAATCTTCAACACATCCACATGTTGAGCAAAGCAGCAGGACAAAATACAAACCTCTAAATCTCTAAAAGAATATTTACCTCTATTTTAAATTTAAAACAATTTCCTTAACATATCAAAACCCCAAACCTTTATCAAATAATTTAACCTGTGAATGCTTGTACCTAATCATATGAATGTTCTTAGTCTTAATTCACAACATGCATTTGTCTTCTGATGGGTGATAAAAGTAGTCATTAAATGACTAGGTGAAAATACATTAAAATGTGTTTATTTTGAACACCTTTCCTGGCTAAGTCTCCCAGATCTCATCTCTTTAACCGCTCTCCACATATTTTCATTTGCTTACTTTTATCCCTTTTATCTGCCCCCTTGTTCTCCTACTCACCTGCAGAGGACTCCACCAAAGGGAAAAATGTTCTTCTCCTCTTGTCATACAGGACTTATCCTGTCATTGGTCCATTCATCCACTTTCCAACAGTACAGGGTCAGGGTCCCAGGGGAGCTGGAGCTTATCCCAGCTAGCAACGAGCACAAGGCAGGGTACACCCTGGACAGGACGCCAGTCCATCACAGGGCTCACACAGACGCACACACCCAGTCACACCAGGGCAAACTTTCCCAGAAGCCAGTTAATCTGCCAGCATGTCTTTGGACTGTGGGAGGAAGCTGGTGCTCTATCATTGTTTGTTAGCACTAAATCATCTCATTAATGAGTACTGATTGGGACCTGGTGAGGAGCTGATTTACCCTGTTGGATGTTAAGCCTGGTGTAAATCAAGAAAAAATACACCCTACGTACTACGAGACATTCCCTTTCATCACATCAAGTCACAGTATCATCTCAGGTAGACTTCTCAGCAGAACTACATCCTCTTCAGTTACGAAGGAAGGTTCTGCATAGCCCAGTGTGACAGCGAGTGTGCAGATGTGCAGAACTGTATGCTGATAGTGTACAACGGAGCAGTCGATGCATGTAATGTCTGAGTGTGATGGTGTGGGCAGGAGAGTGCATTCCTTACAAAACTCAATTTGCAGTTATAAGACTGCACAGCCAAGTCAACACAATGATATCCGAAAACTATTTTAAAAATGGTCATTCTGGTGGTCTCAGCATTTTGTCTACTTATAAAATTAGACTAGACACTGTCTAATATAACCTCTAGACTATTTAACGACAATTTGGGTCAAAATTATTCCCAGTGCTGGGTCTAATTGTGAGACAGCTTAATAACCCTGATGTGCTGTTGCAGGAATCCTGCTTCATACAAGTAACAGTAATTTGGTGTTTGTGCTTGGCCTTAGGGGCAAAGCTACTATTCGTGGGATCATGACTGAATGCCTCAAAGTCACCATCCCTCCTTAGATTCAACATAAATGTAGAACAGGCACACAGCACTTATAAATATTTTTTTTCTAATACTAATATGTTGCATAGAGGTGCTTTTCAACTTCAGATGGTTAGCCCAAAGTACTTACGTAGCAAGCAAGGCTTATTTCTGTCCAGACATTCTTGAGGCGGTCGAGCAAAGGACCCTGGAGACTTTGCATCGTTAAGTCAGTCACTGAAGAAGCTCTGATTCGGCTGCATTTTGTGGTCGCTCTCCCAAGAGCTTTGGTAAAGAGGGTTTTGAATCCCACCGTTCACACAATCTCGCATGTCCTTCTACAAGCAGAGGATGAGAACAGCAGGAGCCCCTGAGCAGCTGACCCAGAAAATGCTGTCAGAATGCTCGATATCCCAGGGTTCCACAGCTGAACTGTGGGGGCTGATGTCATTAATTGACCACAAACAATTCCCTTAGCGGTGATCTACCACTGTTTGAGCCAAATATCACCAGGTTATTATATAATAGTGCTGTATATCACACAACAGTGATCCCAGTGACTTGCCTGCAGCTGGAGAACTGCCCCACTGCGAGTGAGATCCACATAATTAATACCAGGCACTGTCTCTCTCAAAAAACAGTAATAATGCTGTGTGGATACAAGGTAATCAGAGTTGATTAAAATTGGGGGGAAAAAGTTTATTCCAAAAGTTTTTGTTTTTCATAAAGGCATTAACTGGGATTGAATGCAAAATAATTTTACAAATTTTTTAAGTATTTCTACTAATAAATTTGAGTTATCAACCATTTAATAATTTACTAATGGGTAGCAATAAAAAAAACACAGACTCAAAGTGCACATTCAGAGCCTTGGTAAGGATGAGAAGATTTTGAACAATTTATTTGAAATTAATTTGGCCCCAAAGTTAAAATTGTGATACACTGGCACAGGAACAAAAAAAATGTAATACTATTAAAATTCGAATACCGGCATTAAAAAGCAAAAACAAAATTCCAAATAAAAACCAAAAACTAGAACTTTAAAGCTCATTTAGGAATTGTGGTTGTTATAATGCTCTCTCCCAGAAATGATGAAAATGGGGTGACTCAACCAACACGAAGTTAAATGCCAACATTACATGGAAATCATTAAATTGACACCCACCTAATCTGGTTTGATGGTGTGCTTTAACATCTTTTTCACATTCCAAAGCTCAGTGAATTTATGGCACGTTGTCTTTTAAAAAAAAACTATTACTGGTTTCAGTAACTACAGAAAGCTTTATTTTCCTCCCCTGGATTCAAGAGCAATGACCATTGTTACAAAGATTCCAGGCACCTCACTGGTTAAGTGATTCACTCAACAGGGGGGACAATATCGCTAAGACAGATCAAACTGTAATGTATAGTCACATTTGCACAGGCATCTCAAACAATAAGTCAATAAATGATTACCTAACATTAGCCATGGAAGCAGGGGAAAACACCAATTCTTCAGACATTTACTGCAACCTATCTCTTGCCTTTTTTCAGAGACAGTGATTTTCATCATTAAACAGAAAATGCCAAAATTTCTAAAGGTTCTCAAGATGTTAAAATTGTTAACAGCACATAAAAACAACAAAACAGCAGTCTTTATAGGTCCTTGAAAATACTTTTGTTCTGTTTTAGCAAAAGGGGTTTCTCTTACTAGACAACAAATTTCTTAACTTGAAACTCACATATTATTTTCTCCTGGCTAATGGTAATGCCTGTGCACAACTACTCATTTAAAGTTTTTGTTACAGATTGCCCACCTACCTGGAGTTAAACGTTTAAAGATTTAGATATCTATAGTACTGGATCAAATGGCTCTAAAGCTTTGTAACTGAATTCACACCCCTTTGTGCAATGCAAAAAAAATTTGCAAGCCTCTTTCTAAAACAAATATAAACTGTTTAATCCTGTTTTGAAGGGAAAAAAGGAAAAGTCCATACTTAAATCTCAGAGACTGGTTTTAATCTCAGAAAATCACATTTCCATACACCTATTGTCTTATTTTTTTCACTAAAAGTTAAATGCAAGTTTATTTTTTTTTTAGTAGAACAAAGACTGTAAACAAATATCTGCAATGTCTGTTACATGTCACATATAAGAGCTGCTTTACAGAAATGATCGGTTTTTGTCATAAATACAGGTATCAAAAACAACCCTTAACACTCTGTGACACTACTAGTAGTCTACACCCACACTTGGAACTAATATTCATGAACAAAATTTGCAACATGAGTCAGTGTACCTGCTAGATTTCACTAACATAGAACTTAATTTGCAGCTCTTTTAATAAGATGGGTTTTTTAAAGCATGCCATTATATACACATCCTATTTTTCTTATTGAGACCAGTATTTTTAACTTAACATATATAGCTCTGCAATAACCTGACCTTTTTGTGTCATGCTTCTCTCCAAAATAAAAAGCCCAACTTTCACAATTCAAGCTTATGATCCAAAACAGTGTCTTGAATAAAGAAGAAAATAATTTTGTGCAGTTCTATTCTTTTTTTTATTATTATTTTAAACCGTGCCTCACATAATGGGCCAACATTTTGTTTTTACTTGACTAACAGAGATGTCCCAATCCTGCATCTGCTGATGAATTTCATTGTGTGGGTGGTAAGCATTGTGGAAATTTACAAGACATTTTAGGAGAATAAGGTTTAAGACAGAGGGTCGTAAGAATCTATTAGAATTAATTGCTGTAGGTCTGTCCTTCTGGCGGCTGTGGAAGCTTCATATTCTCTTTGGACATCATTAGACGCCGCAGCTCTTGAAGAACAACTTTAATGCTATAGGAATTTTGCCATTTAGCTAGAATTGGTATGCTACGAGCATCCACCTGCAATGGAAAGAAGAGAATATCAATCGCCAAATGAAATGCTTCAAAAACATCAAATTAGTTGAGTGATTTTACAAAAGAATTTAAATCTAAATTAATCTCTACTAATCGAATTAAATCTCTACTGTTTATCAATGGTACTTTCCCCTGTTTCATGAAAGAAGCAGACAGATTAGGATATCAATGGAAAATAAGAAAGAGAGATAAAAAACTAAAAAAAGTACACTTCAAATAAGTGAAAAAGATTCAGAAAGCACATATAGTATACATAGTCTTCATATAATAGTGTGATATTCATCTGAAAAAACATCATTCGTGCATTAACGGACATTCAGCAAATAACAGACATCTCTTCCCCCCATTAGTCTATTAAAATGTTTCATTTTTCCTTTCCTCTGAGTTTCAAAGTAAAAGGTAGTCGCTTATCCATTCCACTTCAAGGTGACAAGTATTATATACCATAGCATGAAACCTCCTATATTACAATGCATGCATTAAACAATCATACACAAACAGGTGAACTACTTGCACCTACTGCAGGTGCTACAATACAACTGCATGTTTGACGTTGGGTTTCAGGCTGCCTCTAGTGTCGATGCTGCTGTAACAGCAGTCTGTATCTGCGCTGCCTTCACCACTACTTTTACATGAACAGACTCTTACACCGATGAAAGTGGATAGTCAGGCAGGGTAGACTAATGGACATCAGTGTTGCAATACACATGAACAGAGCATTGCCAATGCTTTAACTACAATATTTTAGTCAGTAATTTATAGATATATATTACATACTTTCAACCTTTAAAATGTCTTCATGTCTTCATAACCTATTCCAGCCTATGAGGTAGTACAGAGCCCTATGCACAAGTACAGCAAATTAAACAGTACTTTTGGCAGATCCTCTGCTGAACACAATGAGGTAAAACTGCTAAAAGCAAAATAGTTTCCCAGCATCTGTCCATGTACATGTGACCAGTCAAACAGTTTGCTTGCAAATACTTATTGAATCTTACATTTATGCTTTCTACTAATGATGCTATTTCAAATATACAGAAATGTACACTTACCGTCCCATTGGAATTATTTATCCCATTCATACTAATTTTTGTTACAAATCTAACAGTTGGTGGTACTTCTGGATATTTAGGTCCACACTCTACTTTGAGACTGTATATTCTGTTTTCATAGTTAGTCTAGAGAAAAAAAGACAATATTGGGAGATTTAGGCACAGCTGTTCCCAAAGAAACACATTTTAATTCACATAGAACAAGAATATCATCTGCTGCAAACTGCAATGAACTTACACAAGTAAGCAAAGCGTTACACTAATACAGCATGGTTAAAAATACTCACCTCACAATGTAAAAACTATAGATGACAATAGAGTTTCCTTAGCCAAAAAAACGGCAGCAAAAACATTTGGATTTGAAATTTAATTTAGCGTACGTCTGGTTTGAGCACATAACCTTAACCAGATATCTTTTCGACACCTGCTCAAGAGGTCAATGACAAGTTTTTTTTTCCCTCAATATGACTCTGGCTCAACAATCATGTGTCATACAAAGATAAGGGGCAAAACAACCCCCAGCTGTATCAAAGCCGAAGCTAACTTCAACCAATTCAACCAACCTCAAAGCCACTTCTAACACAGTAATAATAAATTGCATTAATACAGCACCTTTCATTCTAAAAAGATCCCAAGAGCTTTACATGTAGGAGGGGACCCGTTTTATTCACCACCCACCTGGAAGACGCACGGCAGCCATTCTGTGCAACACATTTGAAAGACAAGTGAGAAATTGCTTATCAATTGTATCAAGGGAGAACTGCCAAAGCAGGCCACACTGTTCAAGCCCAGGGTGGAATTTAGCCAGAAACCCAGGCTTCAAAAAGTGATCTTCAATGACCAAACGGTTAGAACCTCTCATCTCATCAGAGAGGTACAGCATATAGCAGAATACCCCTGTCCGTATACCGGGGTATTGTTGTTCTGAAATTCTGCTCCAGGAAAGAACAGTGACACCTACTGGTCCACTATAACCATGTCAAGCATAACAGGTTTCGTCTTGGAGGCTGCACATCCCAGTACTGATCATACCCAGTCTTGCTGGGTTCGGAGATGTGATGAGCTTGACCTAGAGCTGCTGAAAGAAGCTAATCCATCACATTTAACTATCAAACCTAATTGAGACTCATTGTAAGGTATTCCTTGTTATTGTTTATTCATTTCTACACATCCATGAGCCCAAAGGCTACTTTTATACTACAAAATACAGATCAGGTTTAAGTGTTATCTTAAAACCAAGCAGCTGAAATCTAAATAGATCTCCAATATAGGACTATTTTTGCACAAGTAAGTTAACAATGAAAACTTTTTTGTTTTTATGTAGCAATGTTTACTATAACTTAATAAGGACTGATCTAACTGAAATAAGAGTGTTTTTTGTTCCGCTTACAGCCATTGATTCCAGTGGCAACTGAACTTAATGGAGGGCAGCACTGTGATGATGTGGCATTTGCCTTGTTTTGTTGGGTATTTTCTGCAATCTTTCCAGAATCCACCCTCAACATGTTTACAGCAGAAAAAGCAGGCTGGAATCCTAATTTTCATCTGTTTGTTCAGAAAACAAACTCAGCTTTTGAGAGGATACAAGTATTTCTGGATGTGTACAGTAGCATTTACACTAGAAGAGGCTGACTGGTATCCATCCTCAGTCACTCATTCAATGACATCTGACCTACTGTAGATGTCTTAATATTAAAAAATATCAAATCACCAAGTTTTATTCTTACGTCCAGTGACTGTTACTTACAGATAAAGTACTTAAACAACACAAAATACTGCCTTTAAATTTTACAGCTTAGTAATAATTGTTTAAAATAATTTATGCTATTGGTGACATTGACAAACTGCAGTGTATATGCCAGAAATTATACTGCAGCCTACAATGGGACCTGTGTTGCATTACTTGCCTTGCTATACAGATGGACAGCTAACACCCACAGACTGGTGGAGATTTTCATAAGAAACTGCTTACATGCAGTATTGTAAATGTGTGCAAAATGTTTCCACTAATAAAATCTGCAAACTGCTTTACAAAATACACTACCAAGTGTACTCTTGTTGTAGCATTTCAAACTGTCTAAACATTAGAAAATTCTCCTGAGCCTTTATCAGTCTCTAAAATTTGAAAATCTTACCAAATCTCAAAAACCTGACATTGTGATTTTAGTAAGCGATTATTGTGGACTTACTATCTTCTGTATTATACTATATTTTAGACTATTATACTATAAAATATCTTCTATATGCACAAAAGGCAGCATTTTGTGAGATCATTTTACTGTTATTCCTAAAATACCATGCACTTGTAAGCTTGCGTTAATTAAAACAATAGTAAAAAGGGCAATCTTTTTGTGACAAAAAATGTAAATCACAAACCTGACCTCTCCCAATACTTCTGAAATGCCTTCTTCATTTAAAAACTAATTTGGCAGAGTACCTACTTCCAGCTTATATACTTTATAAACTCCAGTTTAACGTGAATTATATAAATCACAGATGAGCAGATTTGCTCATTTCTTGTTCCTTCAGAAGTTTTCTTGATGATACAGTTTTGGTGATGATAAACCATTTGTTTTGATTGCTCTATAACTTTGTTTTCTCTCCCACAAATGTTTTGATGGCCTTGTCCTGAAATTGGCAAATTAAATTTGACCATAACAGATCAATCTTTCAGCCTTTTCGATTAACTACAATGAATTTTGTCTCATGTTCCATCATAGGCTCAGCTGTATTGTCTGTTCCTATCAACATCTCATTCAAGCATTTGATTGCAACTTGTATCACGCCAATCTAGCCTGAAAAACAGCCCAAGGAAAATGGCGAGACCAAAAATGGCTATTAATAATTGCATTAAAAAACAGGTGTGTGGTCTAACACTGAAATCATTTTACAAACAAGGGGACCCACACCTGATGTTAATTATGTGCTTTTCTTAAAAGAAAATGCTTAAAGAAAACATTTTTCATTTTTGGTCCTACTAATCCATCTGCAAATTCTGCTTGCTCTCCAAGCTATTAGTTATGTTTTGGAAGGTTAGAAAAAATATGATTGTTGTGCATAGAAAATTTAAAACTGATTATATCATAAGCAAATTAAATTAACTGCTTATTTTAACAGCAATAAACTTTGCTTATTGCTGTTAAAGGCGCTATATATAATTATTGATGCAAACCAGACATGCACTGAAACAAAAACAATCTGACAAACTGTATTAAAGTAAAATCATTTTTTTCTATGACTAGCTGTTTCTATCAGTATAAACTACCACAATAAAGGAACTCTACCCAAGGGATCTCTGTCTGGTCTAATTACAGTCAGTCTGTCATGAGGAGAATCAATACCGGTGATTTTCTTCCACTGAGCCACCATATGACAACTTTCCTGCTGGTGTGGCTCACAAAGCCTCCATTTCCCAGATGTCTACACACCTTATGACACAATATACTGGGCCTGCAAGAGGTGCCACTATGGACCTTGGTCCTTTGGTTTTTTTGGTCATGTGGTATACCCGCTATTACCAGTAATTAAGTAATGAAGGGCATATTGTCAGCAGTTATCCCAATTTATGAGAAAAAAACACAAATCAAGCAAAAACATCCCAGTTAGAAACAGACAAAAATCAATGCTTGTGGCGGAACCTCACTTTCACAGGTTAGAAACCACTTAAAGGAAATATAGGTCTAATACATTATTACTATATAAGGTGTAATGGTGTAAAGTCAGCTTTCCTTACGTAAGTAAAAATCAGAGGTAATTAATCAAATTACTGAATGCAGGCAGCCAAGTTTGTGCTAATTAGCAAGCATTCTGTACATAGGTGATCAGTCAAAACACATTCACGCACAATCCTGAACAAACTAGATGAATGTATAAGGAAAAAACTTTGGCAAGTACTTCTTCCTGCACTAATAAACAAAATCCCCTCAAATGGCTCTTAAGCATTTTTTACAGCAGAGATACAAAAATAGTACAAACTTGATGGAAATGCAGGCTTCAAAACCACTTAACCTTTTTCACAACAGCAAATGGTACCCAACCGCAAAGCCAGACAGTATAATTTCACACATCAGCCTTTTCTAATATCAAACTAACAGAACGTGAAAGAATGACATTTCTTGCAAACTGAATGGCTATAAGTAAGTGTGCAACCCATCAGCAACTACAATCAGTTGATTGCAGCCCTTCAACAAGTGGCATCCACATAATGAAGAATGGAACATGAAAACTAAATTGACAGTGTTGACCAATCCCTTTCACGTAGGTCTAATTAACCGCAATGCAGCTTTCTGTGCAACAGCACACAACTCCACCACAGGCCATTTCCGATTAAGGAGTCCACATCTGGAGGTTTGAATTGTGTCCTAGGTGGTAATTATAAACCTGATCTCAATTTCAACGATGCCGTGAGGTAACCATGTCACTTCAAAGCCAACGAGTTGACTTACAGTCCTATGTCCTTCTGATTGCTTTTAAAAAACAGAGGCCCTTATTATTGACCTCCAGGAATCATCATGTGCACAGGAATCAAAAAGCCGCCTCTCAATACATTCTGCTACAGTATGAGATACAGTTAGGAGACCAAACAATGGAAACGCCTGTGTAAAAGACAGGTATCGGACAAGTAGAGTGGATATCAAAAGTTTACACAAGTTTCCGTAGTGTAATGGTTATCATGTTCGCCTCACATGCGAAAAGTCCCCAGTTCGAAACCGGGCAGTAATATCTCCGTTTAGGGGAGGTGTGGTGGCTCTGTGGCTCAGGATCTGCGCCTGTGGCTGGAAGGTTGCTGGTTCGTATCCTGCGGCCGGCAGAGGAATCCTACTCCGTTGGGCCCCTGAGCAAGGCCCTTAACCCCAACTGCCCCAAGGGCGCCGTGTAAATAACAGACCCTGCGCTCTGACCCCCAGCTTTTCTCCCTGTCTGTGTGTCTCATGGAGAGCAAGCAGGGGTATGCAAAAAGACACATTCCTAATACAAGAAATTGTATCTGGCCAATAAAGTGATCTAAATTTACACTCTTATTGAAATTTCAGATTTTGTTGATTTAAAGACTGAAATTAAGACAAATCAAGTCAGACCTTTTTCACTTTTAATAAGGTCTTGTAACCAACAATATTTAAGTGGAAAAACAAATAGATCATTTTTTGGAAAAACAATTAAAAATAAAAAACAATGCCCGAGTGAGCATGTTGGATAACCAGGTTGACTGTAAGTATGACTGGCATGCTTACAAAAAAAGAGATCTCGGTGGATTTAAAAGAGGGGTGATTGCTGAGGCACGTTTGTAAGAAATTTTAGTATCCAAGACAGCTCAACTTGCTGATGTTTCACAAACAGCAGTCACTGAAATTATGTCAGCATGAAACTTCAAAATGACAAAATCAGCAAAGGGCACAGCAGGCAGAAGTGCATACTCCGGGCTCGTGATAGCTGTGCCTGAATTAAAAGTGCACATTCAAACAATGTTGAGTAACTCTCTTAACTCCTGAAACACTACAGTACTGTCTTCTTTTTTGGTAATGTTTGTCTATCTGTGTTGTATTGCACTGTGCCTGAAAAACTAATTTCCCCCAGGGATAATAAAGCTTGAATTGAAAATAAAACAGGGAAGCAACTGCATATCAATTTACTGTAACTTTCAATCTGAGATGCGAGCAAACAGTTTAATGAAAAACAGTCCACAGAAGAACTCGAACGAGATACCACAGGACAGAAGAATGGACGTATGGCGCCAAGTGCCGATGTACCTAAAGTACTCTACAGTCCCGAGTGCTTGGATCGAACAGAGAACGGTTCTGGTGGCTCCATAATTCAATGGGTGTCATTACCCATGGTTTGGGTGCGCTCATTCTCTTTGAAGTCAAGGTCAATACTAATCACTGCTTAATATTCCTGAGTGATCATCTCCATCCCATATTGCAGCACTTCTTTCCTGCTGGGAGGGGTGTTTTCCAGGATGACAATGCTCCCATCCACAGAGCACATTTGGTTTCCCAGTGGTTTGAGGAGCGCGATTTCTCAGGCATCAGATCCGAACACAATTAAGGATTAATGAGATACGCTCAAACAATACCCACCTCCAGCAACGAGGCACGAGTAGTTTTTCTTGTGAAACAATGGTGCTGCATCCACCCTGCAGAATTCCTGACGCTGGTTGACACGCAAGCTGTACATAGTAACGCAAAGCCCTATAAAGTGTCTCCATTTTTTGTCCATTATGTGTATGTCAAGCTCTTACCTGACCTGCTCCAGGTGCTGGGTAATTCAAGCTTATCTATTTTGAATATATCTGCAAACTTGCAAATGAAATGAAATCTCTCAGTGTTCTAGCTCTTCAACACTTACCCTTGCCGGTCCAATGATCATGCCTGTCCATCTTGTGAGTGTCATGTCTTCATCATCTTCAAGACCCCAGCTGACAGTACCATCTCCTACTCCTTTCTGTCCCTCTTCAAGCTCTTCCAACAAGCGGAAATTACGAGGAACTTTGACTCCTACAGAAACAACACATGCCACTTAAATACTACAAGACGAAAATTAAGAACGCAAGGCTGACAACAGATACCAATAATACAACGCAGAAAACTATTCCTCTAAAACAGCAAATTTATAAATGCACACCTCGGTAAGTAAATGAAAAAAAAATGGAATCAGTGCTACACCTGCTGACGAAGTTCTGATTAAAACTATTTTCCATTTCCTTCTACTTCATTGGTTTGGCATATAACTGACTTGCAAGAGACAGCATTACAGTGCAAGACTAACTGCACTGAGACACTATGCCATCATCGCAGCACTGCAGTCAATTACATGAATTTTTAAATAAGGTGAACTAAATAAAACAACTAACAAAAAAGCAAACAGCAAAAGTGCAAGGCTTCAGCAATTTTACATTAAAAATGCAGGAAATGCCAGTGCTGCGTGAAATAGTGAAATTAAAACTTTAAAGCAGTAAAAGGAATGCTACATAATGTTATCTATTATCTTCACAGTACTACAAGCTAAATTCATTGTATTGGCACTCCATAAATTAAATGCTTTCAACCACTGAGTTAATAGACTAGCCTGTAATAATTGAATAAATGCGAGAATGTTTTGAACGCCAGAAAAAGAAACACATTTTACATTATCTACAGTTAGGAATTAATTTCGTGGCTTGCCTTTCACCGGTTCTATCACAATGGAACATGTACTGGCAAATTCCATGTTAAAAAGTAAAAACGTTACTTTTCAGGGTGTAAATAACCTCATCCTGTTCCTTTGCAACTCCCATGCTGATACAGCTACACACTGTATTGACCATATTTGACAAACATTACTATTCAACTTTATTACAGACCTGAGATAACCTGCGGTAGTGCATTGAAGACAATGACACATTATGATTTACAGACCAGCTGCTGTACATAACCTTGTTTACCTTAATAAGAATATCAGTTTCACTCTTGACAAGGTTTATTCTCTAACCTTCTGAAGAATAAAATGTTGTAATCCAGTTCATTTATGCATTTAAACATCATATAGCTATACAAGTTGAAATTCAACAAAATTAATGCTACTATAAATGGCACAAAATAAAATGCATCGAAACGCTTTTGCATTGACTTTTAAACTAAATTTTAGATTATTAGCATTAAAAGGGGGACAGGAGTAATCAAAATCTTTTACAAAACAGCCTACATAATCTTCTAAAACATTAAAATCTAAATAATGGGAAACAAATGTCAGTCCTTGACAAGTTCAAAATGTTCTCGTAGTTCTATTTTATAAAGCAAGCACCTAGAAATAAACAGAATGATGAATTTATGAAGCTGTGAAAACATTTCATTCTTAAAATGCAGGCGATGGAACATAAAGTGCCAGATGTAATCATACATCTAGAGAACAAAAAAAAAACAGAACAGAAATATTTACAGACTGGACAAAGTGCCTTGGCTTAAAAATCTAAAAGTGTTATACTGTAATCTTCATGGTACTGCACAGAGAAGTACTAACTGTCATAAATAATTCAGGTCCCAAAAACATAACGGCGACTTTTACTGAAATTGCAGTACTCAGAATTGTGTAAGGCCTCCTCTGACAGGGATGAGACTAGCAAGTATCTTCTGTAGTGTGCTGTGAGGTTCTGGCACTTTTGAATCAGAAATCATGACCTTTCCTCCAGGTTGCTCTAGGTCTGGATCCTCTGTTTCTATATAAGAGCTTCTATATATTCTTGAGCTTCGACCCACAACCATTCATCTGGACTGATGTCTGGGGATCGAGACGGTCTGCTGAGAACAGCACCAGGTGCTTGACCAAAATCTCCTCCTCTACATGTTGGGGTTTCCACAGATAGAAAACCACCCCAGAACATTATGCGCCTGCCTTGAGATTTCACAGTGGGCTTGAGTATGTTCTCAACATGAACTTCATCTTTTCAATGCCAAGCATGTCCAAAAATATTTTCATTTTGTTTGACTATAAGGCTTGGTTTCCACTGCCATTCAGATGTAGTCTGTCATTAGTCTGTAGTCAAATTCAAGTTGCCTTTATTGTGAAGCACTTCAGAAGAGGGGTCTCCCTTGCAACCTGACCATTAGTGCAACTGTCCAACAGGCAGCATTAAATGGCAGTGTTCACTACTTTTCATCTTTAAGTTGTCAGTTTGTGTAGGAGATCTCCAGCTGTTGCCTTTGGACTTACAGTTGCCCCCCTAGTCACTGCCTGGGATGACAAGAAACACTTGTGTCCCTTCCTTGTCCGATTTGACACTATAATAATCTTAGGTTTCCTAAAAAACAAACACTACACTAAAAACTGGGACATTCAATCTTTTGAAGAATCTTTAATAGCCATTTCCCAGCGTCTGCAGGTTAATAGCCAATTGTCCACTGTCTTTCAGTATCAAGATTCCATGATAGTGAGTAAACTTCAAGCTAAGTTCACAGATTATACCAAATCAGGGGGATCAGTTAACAATTAGAAACTAGCAAATCTTAAAAGCTCCAAAAAACACCGAAAGATTCAGACAAAATTCAAGTAACCTGGCAGATATGCAGTACCAACTAGTGCAGTTTTACATGCAGGTAGCATAAACTATAAATATAAAATGGGAAACACTTAGACTGAAAAAGAGTGAGGTGATTTTGCTGACACATCATTTTCTTCTCGTAGACAAGATGAGGAAGCAATAAAAAAGGCAAACAGAACATTTGGATACACCGTGTACAAGAGCAGAATTTAAATCCAGGGACGCTGCACTAAAATTGTCAAATTACTAGAAGGAACTCATTTAAACCACCGTGTTCAATTTTGGTTAAAAGGGTGGACCAGAGGACACTACAGATCAAAATGTGTTTAAAAAAAGTGTGAAAAGGTTAATTAAAACCAAAAGCAGGAGTAACTTCTTCACTCAAGGTGTTGTGGGGGGCTATGGACAAATCTGCCCAGTCATGTTGCTGAAGGCAATATCCTGGTTTCAGTCACAAAACCTGGGAGGCTTGTGAATCAAATAACCATATGGGTTCTTCACATTTGTAAAATATGCACACAAAAAAGTCTACATCTAATGCACAGGTCATGTTTCTAACAGTACATTAACCCGTCCTTCGGATGAGACGTAAAACCGAGGTCCTGACTCTCTGTGGTCATTAAAAATCCCAGGGCGTTTCTCGAAAAGAGTAGGGGTGTAACCCCGGCGTCCTGGCCAAAATTTCCCATTGGCCCTTACCAATCATGGCCTCCTAATAATCCCCCTCTATGAATTGGCTACATCACTCTGCTCTCCTCCCCACTGATGTGTGGTAAGCGTTCTGGCGCACTATGGCTGCCGTCGCATCATCCAGGTGGATGCTGCACATTGGTGGTGGTGGAGGGGATCCCCATTACCTGTAAAGCGCTTTGAGTGGAGTGTCCAGAAAAGCGCTATATAAGTGTAAGCAATTATTAATTATTATTATGTGCAGAATTATTCTATCCATCAGACAAATTATTGTACAGCTACTGGAAACAGAAATGCACTTATAATAGAAACTAAGGACCAAGGTGGCCCTCTGGAAGCTTGCGTTTGGCTATCTTGATCTAACCCTGCCTTGAAAACAGTTTTCTTAAGGTGTGTCACTCTCTCCCTTAACCTGCGTCTCATCTCTCCGAAAATACATTTACACCTTGTAAAACGTGACCATTCTGTGTGTGCAGCCTAAGCAAATTTGACATTTCCTACATTTCCTGTGAAGTGCAAAAGTTAAGAATAAAGGGGTTTACTGCAATTCTCAAAGCTAAAGGCAAAGAAATGTGGCCAAAGTGTCTCAATACACTTGCTTTTCATTTTAAAAAAGTTTTTCCTCAATCTGAACATAAAAGACCAAACCCTGATCTTGCCTTCACATGCAGTACTGCAGTAAAAAAAAGGGCTCTACTATTCACGTTATGAGTTTGTGGGAACTGAAAGAAGTCCTCTAAAGACTGCCCCTTGAAAAGAACACTTCTCCACCTGAACATGAGAATCTCATAGAAGGAATTGCTATTTTTAGACGATTAGAAAGTAGAAAGCAGTAGTCCTGGCTTGTTAATGCAGACTCTCTAATTGACCTTGACAAATCTTAAGTGCAGACCTCTCACTGGTACTACTGTCCGAACAACTTAAGAAACTCAAAGATAAAACACTTAGATCAATTCGAATAACGCCTACTAATTATATGTAGCAGAGCATCTTTGCTTGATGACCTCCACCTACCCACCTGCTAGCATCTCTGTAATACATGCACTTAGCCATCAATACTTTCGAACATAAACCAAACTATCTTTAACATGCGATACAAAGCTAGACAGATCTAGCTTTGTGAACTTCTGTCTTCCATTTCACCTGAGCACAGCGCTCCTTGGAATGAAACAATTCTGCAACTCGGGGAACAGAACACCCATCAGTCTGTGGATTTTACCCAGACAGACCAAAATTTCTAGCTGGATGACTGAACCACCAAAAAAGCAAGAATGTGTGAAGACAGTTGTAACAGTTTTATTCATTCAAGTATTCACTCAGGAATGGATGGTTTATCTGTTCTGCAAAGTGCTTTTAATACTGTTAAAGGCTAGAATAACCTTTTTTGCACTACTTTATACAATATCCATACCACTTTAACTCTTCATGATGAGCACAAGAAAGACTTTTATAAGGGCTGCATTTTTTACATGATAGGCGCATAGCTCAAAGCACCGCAGTGTTTACTATTACTTTAACGACATTTTGATTAAGTTTATTTGCTTAGGGGACTACATTGATTTTCAGAACGAAATAAAAACATTTCCTTTGCTCTTGTGCAGTGCACTTCTATATTACGTATCCATGCAGTGTTTCCGAAAACAGATTTCTCCAAGGGGGAGGGGGGCAACATCTTGTTTCGACAGTCATTCATCGCTGAAATGTATGAGTAAAATTGCTTTTATGTAACACTGGGCTGCACGTATCAGTGTAAGTGGAATCAAACGCATGCGAATTTAAGGTGCACCTTCTCACCTGCCGCTAATAAATCAATTACATAAGACTATTTAAATTGGATGCACCATTTCACGCACGCATTCCAAGTATCATCGGGCTCACGGATCCAATTAAAAGGGGATTTATTTCTGTAGCACTTCCAAGGTTGCAAAACAATCGAATCTTTTACCGAAGCACGTCAGTGGCAAAATATGCTCACATTAACTCTACGAACACCGAACAACCTTAACACTCCCAGGCACACCCACAATGAATGCAGATCGCAACACTTCCTGTACCATTTCTGAGTTTCTTGCTGTCCGCGGAGAATAAAATCGTCTCATCTGTCCTTCTTCCTACTGCATGTTGTTTTTTTTGCAGGAGAGGTAGCATGTTATCTTGTTCTTTTTTTTAATGAATGATTTCGGCCAGGCCTAAAGCAAATATACCTGCCACGGGAATAGCCACTTTTAACTCGAAATCCCAAACACACACGTCAAAGACGCCCTGTATTCGTCATTTAAAGACAGTTCTGCTCTCACGGTTTGGCGTTACCGTGCTTAGGGGAAATCTGGACACACGCCCTCGTTAAAAATACTTATTCGGCAATATACGTTTCAGCGTCAGGCCCGAGGAAACGCTACTTCCTGAACAAAACACAAGAGCCCGCAGCGGAGCACACACGGGCATGCACGCGTGGAGAGTCTGAAGGAAATACCCTGCAAAACACGAATTAAATAGGTTTTGCTCAGTCCTCTTCCCTGCATTGCTACGCCAATCGGGCCTGCAACCTTCCCCAATACCGATCCCCCCCCTCCAGTTCTGATCAACATTCACAGCATGATGAGTGACTGTGCATCGACAGACCTCCCGTCCTCTCTTGTTCGACAAGCAGAAATCCCGCAGTAACGCAACTCTTTCCCCTCTCGCTCGACTTCGTCCCTCTTCCCGCTTAAGTCAAATTACGCGTTTCCCCCCCGACCTGCTCGCGTCTGCGCGCCCACCCCGCGAGTCGGAATAATCGCATTTTTTTGTCTCTAAAATAGCCCAGATTCTCACACAAACCTGTGGAGGCCGCCATCTTGTCCAGCCGAATCCAGAACCACACAAATCCGTGACATCACAGTCACCTGGCGCGCGCGTCACCACTGCACCGAGCCGCCGCTGCCGCCGCCGCTCACGTGACCTCTCGGCGCTTGTTGGTTTGGGTGTGTGGTGGGGGGGTCATTCATCGAGGGAGTATGAATGTGCCCAGCGACTGAAAGATTTACTTGTTTTACAAATACATCTACATCAAAAACGGAAACCTACTCGAATCATGACTGGAATCCTTTATTACTACCGTAGCTTTTAGTTCACTTTTTTAATTTCCGTTCTCTTCTTCCATGTTATATTAAATTGCCCCCATTTTTACATGAATAAAGTATTTTGAATAGAAGATATTGCGTTTATAAGATGTAAATGAATCAAACGGTAAATCAATCAAACGGAAAACACTTCTTGTTACCATGTAACCCCCTCCCTAGTTTTTTGAGTTGTTGCAAAAGAAAACAGTATTGTGCTCACTGAGCAGTTAAAAGGCACTTCTGTTGTTTCATATGTGATTTCATTATCTGCTTTTCATGTGTTACAGCGTGACAAAAGGAGTTGTGGGACAAATGCATAGGGGCTATATACCTTATGCATATAATGGATTCTTTGTGTGTGTGGGGGGGGGGGTTTCTCTTTGGGTCTGCTTTTCTCCTTTCATCAAGGTCTCCAAGCCTTTCCAGTGCAAGGCTGGCTGGTGACAATCAACAATGTTTCAATGACACGCTGTCGCCTAGATGTTCATCAATCACCACACAGAGGTGACACATTAGGGTTGCTGGAGAGTCTGGACCAAAGGTGGTGCAGGGGGACAGATGAAGCACAAAGGACAAAGGGACAAGGGAAGGGACAGTGTATGTTGACACCTGGTCAACTCCATAATTAACCCCCACTCACTAGGTTGAACTACCAGACATCACACACACACACACACACACACACACACACACACACTACAAGCTTTGGTTGAAGGGTAATGGCATAGTTCTAATATAACTGTCTGTGCTGGTCTGGGAGCACATGGGTGGTTTTGGGGAGATACATCAAACCTGTTGTGGAGAGAAGGATCCAAACTTTTTTTCCCCATGTGTTTTGGTTGAAGTTTCTGAAATGTTTATTTCTTAAAAAGACTTATTGGTTTTAAGCCGACGGCCATGAAGGTGTAACATAAACACATTCGGGAATATCAAAAACTTGATTTGAAGGGTTCCATCATTTAAGTGTCAAAGTATTATTTTAACATGAACATTTTGTGGAATGTCTACCTCTGGTGCTGGGCTTTCTCATGATCTTTTCCTTTTTTCTTTTACAAGGCTCATCCTTTCCTCTCCTATAAAAACAGGGTTGAGGGGGAACTGCAGTCTCTTCCTGTTTTGCCACATGTCCGTCAACAGATGCTCTACTCCTTTCTCAGGCCTTTCACATTTAAAGAACTTTATTGGCATGACCAATCCATTACAATTAACACAACATTTACAGATATTACAGACTTTAATAAGCATATTATTGACATTGCATACTGTATATCATATAAAACATTGTTATGAGACAAGCTCACTATCAGTTCCTCAGGCTTTGACAGGACACAACATACTTGGGTTGCAGCTCTACCGAGTTTCCACACCCAGTAGGATCAGAAGAGTGTTTATCTAATCCCAGAGTATTTCTCCCAGTGCAGCAGAAAGTGTACCTCTGTCTTGGGTTTTCCCTGCTGCCAGCAGGAGCTCAGCCTGTCCTTTCTGGGCAGCCAGGTCTGCCTGTGTCCAGTTTCTGTGTCAAGGCTACAGTCACTGACCCTGTCCTCTCTGCACAGTCAGGTCTGTCATTGCCTCCCAGTTTCTACAGCCAGGCTGTGGTCACTGAGCCGATCATTTCTGGACAGCCAGGTCTGCCTGTGTCCAGTTTCTACATCACGGCTACAGTCGTTGAGCCTGTCCTCTCTGGGAAGCCAGGTCTGCCTGTGTCCAGTTTCAATTGTCCTCGGTCTGGTCATAACACATAGCACCTTTCTTTTCTTGTTGTCTGACCAGTCCAAAACAATCATTGTCTTTGAAACTGACTCAAGCCTTCCAGCCTGTGAAAACTTTCTAGCCCAAACCTTGTTACAAAGAACTATTGCCTAACTTTTTTTTAAAGGAAGGGGGTAAATGAGTACAGAGGATGAGGTTTAAATGTGACTTTAATACTTTTTTTTTACGTAGAAAGGAATATTGGTAAATGTTTACATTTTTTTTTAACATTGCTTGTCTTGTAATGTAGAATTTGTTTCATTTGTAAAATGTGGTTAATTTAATTAGGGGTATTTCATACTATGTCTTTATAAAGAGCCCATTTCAGGGTTACAGTGTTTTAAGAGAAGAAAGCAGACTCTATGAATTAGGGCAAATAATATTACGTTTTGCAGATTCACTATACTGTAAGACAGAACTGTCTGAACCGACTTAAAATTCGGCTTTTCATTTATACAAAGTTAGCAATACAGTAGCTATTTTGCCCTAAATTTAACCAGCAGGGATTACCAGTATTCCCCATGAAGTCTGTGTAAAGCGGCTCTCCGATATTGAAACACTTCCAGCTTGTAGACTTTCCGACTTTAATCAAGCCCTCAAGTTCAAATATGAATATAGCACCACCCTTAACGAATAAGTTAAAAACCTTCTGATGAAGTTGAAACAAGGACATTTTGAATTGGGGGTTGAAATATACGCCTGTCCAGAACCCACAATTTTAGATCATGATAACACGTCTGATCGTTCGTCGTTGCAATGGGTCACAAGGCAAGATTGTCCCTTTATCGCCCCTGCTGTTTGACATTGCTCTACAGTCTCTGGCAATTAGCATAAGAAATAATCCTAGTATATAATGTATTAACACAGCAGCCTGTATGTCGCTGTGTCCTGACAATGTGCTCCTGTATCTTTCTGATTTTATATCTTATCTATGTCATCTGAATTGTAAGACCTGAGATGACTTCTGCAAAGCAAATGGGCTCTGGTAACCAAGTGCTACGGTTTAAATCCTCTCAAAAGTTTAAATAAGTTTAAGTATGCAACTTTGTATATAAATGGTTGTACGTTTTTAATGATAAAATGGGGGATTAAAAACTGCATTAGACGCATAGTAAAATCTAAGAGCCGCGTAGGGGAATTAGCTCAAATGGTAGAGCGCTCGCTTAGCATGCGAGAGGTAGCGGGATCGATGCCCGCATTCTCCAAGCTTTTGCTTATGAATAGAAATGTGCTCAGGGCACATGGAGTAAAAGGAAGGCAGTTCCCCGAGTGTTTGAATTAGTAACCATTTTCTTGTTTTTCGGCAAGGGCAAAACGAAATGTCCCCGAATGCGCAGCTCGGGAAAGACTCCTTCACTCACAAACGTGCAGTCGGGATGTTTGTGTGCTGCGCTTTCGTTTGTGTTTGAAGTGTGGAGCTCTCTAGGAACTCATCAAGATGTCGGAGAGAGGGATAGAGGAACGAAAGCCTGTGTTATAACCCTCCTGTATGTGTGTTTTTTAAATTAAAACTGTATTCCCGATTGAGAAGACGACATAAAACCTGTTACTGGAACGTACTAATTTAAGGGATTCAGACATCACAACTTCATGTTTGGTGCCTGGGATTGGGAGAGGCTTCTTTTGCCTTAACGGCGTTTTATTGACAATCATTTGCTAGGGTAATCATATTCCTGTTAATATAATGTAAACAAAAAACACGTTCCGGAGAAGGCGAACCGTACCAGTAAAAAAATCCTTGTCTAGAAAGAATTTCACATAAATTGGATCAATGTCCGGTATTAGACAGGACTGTATAGTCAGACTGCTGGATAAGTAATAGGTGCTTAAGGAAATACCTTGACTAAACACATTCTCCTTGTACGTAATTTATTAAAGACGTGGTTGTGACGGTAGTCTGCCCTCTCAATGGAGCCTTGCAGACCGGAAGCGCGCAATTACTTCCTGTGCGGGGACGGCGTGTGTTGTGCCCCTTCGATAGCTCAGTTGGTAGAGCGGAGGACTGTAGCGGTGATTCCCGGCCATCCTTAGGTCGCTGGTTCGAATCCGGCTCGAATCCGGCTCGAAGGAGGTGGATTTTTTTTACCTTCAATTCGAGCTGCATTTTATGTACATTAGAATGTATACATTTCACTGAAAAAAATGATACCGTATTTAATGATATTCCCATCATGGTGATATTCCAAATGATACTGCCAGCGTTGTCGTAAAAGAAATGCATAACTTTGGAGAATGCGGGCATCGATCCCGCTACCTCTCGCATGCTAAGCGAGCGCTCTACCATTTGAGCTAATTCCCCTTCACAGACACCTCTTTCAAAAAATCCTTTATTAGAGACTATAAAATTTAATATTATACCGATGATTCACAACTAGTTAACAACAATTCATCTAAGAGGGATGATTTGGATTGTAAAAAAATACATAAACTGCAGAGGAGACATTTTGAATTTCGATCCTGATGAAGGAGAGCAAAACATCTGTCCTTCGAGCCGGATTCGAACCAGCGACCTAAGGATAGCCGGGCTTTACCACTACAGTCCTCCGCTCTACCAACTGAGCTATCGAAGGGACACGACAGACCTTTGCTCAAGTATGTATACATAAGTACATACATAAATAGTATAAATTTACTTGATTAAATAGTATAAATATTACGGATTTTAGTCGCCCTAGTACGCGAATCAAGAAATGGGTGTTTAATTCATCACATTCAAAAGGGTTCAAACGTTTGTTGCCCAATTCAGATTTAAATGATTTTTTTTAAACTGAGGACCACGTAATTGTTGTTTTTTTTTGGGGGGGGGAATGTTTGAACCGATGAAAGTTGCGAGGAACAGAGTCTACCACCAAACGTAAAATAGTAAATGAGAAACGAAACGACTCGACTCATTTTTTCCGGAAAATGTGCGTCAGCAAAAATAGAAAAGATAGCACCCAAAGCCGGTGCAACTGTCTACCTATCCCTTAGCAGACAGCCGCTTCTCCACGCAGTACAGCGCACAAGTCGAGGTACAGATATCGGATATTGGGGTACCACCCCTGAAGGTGTTTTCTAGTAATTTTTTTAACCTTGTTCACGAAAATGTATTGCTTGTGTACTGCTTTCATTGGCGAAGAGACACCAGTTTCCAAATTACCGCTGGCACAACACGAGAGCCCATATTCCTATTTTTAGGAATTAGTCTCAAGATCGATATAATTTAACATTTAAAAAACAAAATTGAAAGTACGAGCATAATAATCTAATGATCATAGACTTTACATTTCTATTCATTTTTAAAGTACAAAGCAGAAGGTGTTTCCCTATCTTAAATATACGATTAAAAGTCTTCAAATACCATGTATTAATTGTTAGTTATTTTGCAAATATGTAAAGCATTTAAAAAATAAATTCTCCTTGACAGTAAACAAGCCGATCCACCTGCTAGCTTGAACAGCCCTCAGACCCGCGATTGGCTAAACCCCCGAGCAGTTCGGGCCGCGATTGGAAGAAAAGTGAGAATCGACACTCTGATTGGGTAAAGCGCCACAGCGGAAGTTCCGAGAACATGTAGATGCATAGGTGATGGAAGTTCTTCTTGGTCCAATACTGTAGCCCCGGTTATCCGTGTGTTCTGTATGGACACGCTTGATATACAGTTATACATCCATTGGTTTCCAATTATTAATCAATCTAAGAGAAGTCGCACTGAGGTCAACACTGAATTGCAGACAAAAGAATCTCATGGCATCCACAGCGCGTTCACGACTCCGATAGCATGTCACAATAGGAGTGCGCGCATCATCGACCACATCGCGATACACATTGCGATATGACATACCCCCGACAAAACGCCCGCCACCATGTCGCAACACGGAGTCTACATATCGCGATATGACAAAAACCCCCACGGCCATGTCGCGACATGAAAGGCCCTATATCGCGACATGACCGGTCCGACCAAAACGCCCAATCCCCCATATCGCGACATAGAGCCCGTATATCGCGATATGACAATAACTGTCACGCCCATGTTGCGATATGAAAGGCCCTATATCGCGATATGACATACCCCGACAAAATGCCCCGCCCCCATGTCGCGACATGGAATCCATATGTTGCGAAAGGACATACCTTGACAGGTTATGCTGACCCCATGTTGAGACACAAAGTCCATATCCTATCTGCGTATATCATGTCCTGATATGAGACCTTTCTTGTGACAGCAGTGCCAGGGTGGCATGGAAGCAAGGCGCCAGTCGTGATATACACCACTGCGATATATATGGGGTCCCCTATCATGACATGCTGCGGAGGTCTTGTCGCGATGGTATCCCACAGTTATGCATTTGGCAACAGCATGTCACGGTAGGGAAAGGAAAGGAAAACGTGACTTAGAAAATAAAAACCATAGATCTTATAATCACGGTGACTTTACATCACAACCACAGCTTTATGTCATAGATGGTTAACGTGTTGGCATGTGTCATGTCATAGTATTATTCACATCTGAGGCTCATATGTTTATGGATATTGATTGTCAGACGGGGTCGCTGGAGGTCAAAGGCACCGTGAAAACAAGGCGCTATATCTCGGGAATGAAAGTAGCAAACGTAGCACTAACGAATGAGACCGGTTTGGTTTTCCTACGACATTGTAGGGGGGGCTGAGTGACGTCACGACCCTGAAAAACAAGGTGCTATATCTCGGGAAATTTGGCCAGGACGCCTGCTCTTTTCAAGAAACACTCTGGGATAGTGATGCACAGGTTGACTCACACCCGCGGGTCGGGCGGGCTCGGGTTAAAAAAAAAATTAGATCGGGTCGGACCGGTGCGGCTTTGTTTCTCACAAGCGCGGGTCAAAACACAAACCGACCCCGCGCATCGCTACTCTGGGATTTTTTAATGACCACAGACAGTCAGCCCATCGGTTTTACGTCTCATCCGTAGGACGACGCCTTCCCTTTCAAATGTGTGAACTAGCTGCTTAATAAATATCGAGCAAGGAGCTGCGTCAGCATGCGTTTATTCCATGCTGAAAAGAAAAGACACGGCGTTTCGGCTGTGGAGTCAGAAAAACATTAAAAATGTTATGTTGCACATTAAGGGCGCCCCCTCGGCGGCCGCCTAGTTCACCTAAGAACTTGGCGAATTACTGTGTATGTTGACTGTATTGATTCGCAACATCTTTAAAATACTGGTTTTACCCCTCATGATAAATGAACAGTTCGATTTACATACGTGACAAACTAGCAGTAATAGCAGTAGAACCAAATCAATAAACAGTTTTATTGTACGGGGAGTATTCCTCAACACAAGCCACTATTGTACTCACAGATACATAAAAGCATGTAATGCAATTCATTTTGCACTTGGCGGATGTTCAGAATGAGTCTAATCACAGCAGAATTTATATTTGCTCACCTGTTTTCAGTATGAGAAGCCAAACTTTCTTAGGAAAAGTTTTATTTAATTTTATTTTAACCTATTATTCATTTTACAATACAGTAATTATTACATTAATAGAAGTGAAACACCAGAAAAGTAAAACACATTGAAGACAATAAGGAAAGAGCATTGTAATATAATAACATTTGGCCCCCTAATCACACTTTACAGAGGATGACTGGGCTTCAAGAAAGAAAACATTTTTTCCCCAAAAAGAGGGGGGGGGTGAGGAAAATGTGGATTTCAGCTATCCTGCAAACAAGAATTTTATCCTTATGACAAATGCAAGTGAAATACAAAAAATGTATTTTATTTACAACATCTTTCTTGCTGTATATTCACAACTGTGCCCAAGCTTGACATCAGAAGACAATCCGCAACGATTCTGAAACTTTTTGGAAAAACAAAATTGTGAAAAGTCAAAAGTTGTATTTGTAATTGGTTGGAAAAAGCAGTAAGCACTACTGCTGCGTGTGGCAAAACTAAACATTTAAAGCAGTCGGACAGTTTTTCCGGTGACAGTCAAGAAGTCCTCATCACCCAAAGCACGAAGGGCTTCGTCAAACATATCTTTGGTAATGGCCTGCAAGAGAAATGAGAAGATTTTTATTGTCCCCTGAGGGAATTTTTTTTTTTATGGACACCCAGCACTCCCTGTATATTTAAATAGAATGCAAAAAAAGAGAAGAAAAACATTGCACATTATTCTATTGCACATGTACAGCATAAAACATAATATGTAACATTTATAACACATCACAAAACATATTGCACTCGAATGGGTTGGAAAGAGTCAAAATTGTGTTATCCTTGACATTTGGATCTCAAACTCTGATGACCAAGTTTCTTCCAAATTGTGAAGCACTGCTGAAACCCACACACCTTATGCATCTACATTTCCTTTTTTATAATCTGTTTTAACGTGATGTTGAATGGTTTGTTGTTTTATGCCTTTTACCTGCCTGCAAAGCAGACTTCCCATCTGGGGCAACAAAGGAAGTACTTTTCTTGAAGGACGAATAACCTTAGATCCCATTTGGTTTTGATTGCTTAAACAGACCCTCAAGCAGACGGGTAGAGGTTAAAATTGTCACACTGCCAAAGATTTTGCACTAGACATCACGCATCTCCTTGTCCTGAAAATCTGTCTCAGTGGCCCCCCGTTCCCCTTTTAGGTGTGAGCTCCCACTCTCTGGATGTTCCCTTATTTTGTTTCTTGCATTATCGAATAGTCTTATCTCTGAAAGCATTAATGGAAGGGAAACAGTGTGCTGTGTGAATAATGAAGGCATGAGCAGTTCCAGCAGACAGAGTAACTCACAACATCAGACTGTCCACGGAGATCATCAAACAGCTGCTGGTATTTCATGGCTGGGGTCTTGCCCTTGGACTGGATGAGCTTCTTCAAAACCTGAGCAAGCTCCTCCTTGCGTTTCCGGGCTGTCGCACTCATCCCTTCCAGGGAAGAGCAAAAAGAAAAGTTAAGAGGTCCAACAAGCTTAAATTTCTCTTTACCAAGACGTGGACACATTAAAAGATCGTTCCATGATATTTCTGTATACACTCATACCCTGAGAAGACTAACCTTCGCTAATGGGAACATAAAGAATTTATACCTTGCAATCCGTTACAAGAACGGACTTTTCGCTCATCTGAACACCTGAGTTCGGAAGTGACCGACTTTGGCCGAGAGCCCTTTGCAGACATTTGAATTTGGCACCACCGAACAGCTGTTTCTGCGCGGGCGCAAGGCATTATGGTTAAGGGTGCCGTGAGGCTGCAGCACTTAGTTTACCATTGCAATGAAAGCTTGTGCTCTCATTTTCAAAGTGTTTTTTCTGTTTGTTTTGTAGTTGTTGTTTATTATGGGCCCTAAAACATTTTATTTAATTCTGAGTAGGTTTTTTTATTTTCTTGTCAATTTCTTTAGCGTAATAGTTGACAACACTATGAACATCGATTGGATAACAGATTGGATAGCGATCTTATTATGAAAGAATGAAAAATGTAAATATCACTAATTATTTTACAACTATAGGTGGCATATTTGAGTAGAACTGCGTTGTTCACTGAGCTTGCTTTAATGGTCTGTATGGTATTATGCATTTAGGGTGGTTTTTGAGTGAATTTATCTTCAGTTTGGAATGGGGTAGAATTTTCCCCAAAAGAAATAATGGAATTTTTATTTTCGATTTATGATCTCCCACCCTCCGAACAGATTTTCAGGAACTAATTAGGTTTGGAAACCGAGGTATGAATGAATTTAGTTTAGAGGGAAAAAAAAAAAATCAAACAAAAAGCAAGGCAAAAGAAAACACCTAAAAACTTAGCTTAACTACTGAATAAAAGAAAACAAATCAGAACCTGGCTTTTTCTTGCCCTGGTGTTTTATGGGTTCCTACCAAATGGCCTTAAAACCGTACCTGTAGTCAGAATGGAGATGTCCACAAAGCCGGTCCTGGGGTCCGTGGCCGACTGCTTCAGAGCCTCACGGTGAAGCCTCTTGGCCTCCTCCACGTCGATGGTTTCCACGACCTCCGAGAAGCGCACCTTGGCGTGGGCTTCGGCCAGCCTGATCAGGGACTCCAGCTGGCGAGGGTAGGCCGAGACCATGCCCCTGCCGCTGCCTATCTTCCTCATGTCCACGTAGGCCTGCAAAAGAACACAGGTCTGCTTTCAACTGCGACGGACGGAGTCAAGAAAAAGGCATCGGAACTTGGAAACAAGAATTCGACTGGGCCTCCCAAGTTGCTCAACAGGCGAAGACGCTGGGTCATGTGTCTCTAGCCGACCGCGACAAGCATTTCCCAGACAGCCGATTGGCCAAGTGTTGTTGGGGTCAGGAGAGGTGATTGTGGGACATACCTGTCCTCTAATCAGTGCTGTTCCTCTGGTTAAGGACTGGAGTGTCTGGGAGGTGTTAATTGACTGACTCAAAGGAAGTTGGGTAGGCAGACTTCTCCAACATTTCCTAATACTCTCCTGCATGCGGTCACAGGGATTTGACTAACACTCCAAATGCGGGTGGGTATAACAAAAATAGTTCTGAATGGTGGGGAAAAAAACCTAAGATTTACCTCAATGAGGGCCTGGCTGGCTTCCTCGCTGAGCCGAGGGTTAATATACGTGCGCGCGTAGGCAATGTAGTCTTTCAACACTGCCATGTCCATGAACTCTTCCTCGATTTGCTCTTCGGTCTGGTAGTACAGCGACACCAAGTGGTGAGCCAGACGCCGGTCATAGGCATCGTCTTGGGGATCGAGCATCAGGAAGATGAGATCAAACCTGGGAAATGCATGCGCAATAGGGACAGGCTTCTGGTGAGTGCTGAACAGAGAAGCAGCTGTTAATCTTGGTGGTTTTGATGTGCGTACAGATCAAAATGTTGAACACTGAAAAGTACAGTGCCGTGCTATAAAGATAATTAAGCCAAAAGGGCAGAACTTTTTTTTTATTAAGGACTTCAAATGGACAGTCGTCTCAGCAATAGGGAGGCTTTCGAACATACCTTGATAACAGTGTGTGTGGGAGCTGGATGTTCTCAATAGTGGTCTTTTTGGGATTCCACTGAGACTCTACTGGATTGGCCGCAGCAAGGACTGATGTCCGGGCATTCAGTTGACAAATAATCCCAGCCTAGCAGAACAAAAACACACCAGTTTAATAATTTTCCTAAATACCGTAACTTCATGGATAGTTACAGCTCCCATCAAGTTGCATTTCCACAGGTAAATTAAGTGTCTTAGGCACCTTTTAAAACAGCTGCCACTAGGGTTAAAATCAAAGACCGTAACAAGAACAAAAACACGTGGATGTTTAGTGGGAAGGGTAATCTATACAGTAAAATCAACACCCAGGCAGTCTGGAAGAATATAACAGGCCATTATGAACAAGGTTCTAGAAAAGGCTGATCGGTCCTGAGGCTACCCAGCTACTCTGAGGCAAGCCAGCAGCTGTAACACCCTGCAACTCACTGAAGCCCAGCAGGTGTAAGCCTGACCAGTACCTGGATGGGAGACGACCTGGGAAAAACTGAAGTTACTGCGAGAAGAAGAGTCAGTGGGACCAGTAGGGGGCGCTCACCTTGCAATCTGTGTGGTCCTAATGCCCCAGTACACTGATAATACTGTAAAAAAGGATACACTTTCTTACAGTATTATGTATCACTACTGTACAAGACTACTGTTCTTCGGATGAAAACCAAGGTCCTGACTCTGTGATCATTAAAAATTCCAGGTTGTTTCTCGAAAAGAGTAGGGGTGTTACCCCGGTGTCCTGGCCAAATTTCCCATTGGCCCTTATCAATCATGGCCTCCTAATAATCCCCATCTCTGAACTGGCTTCATCGCTCTGTTCTCCTCCCCACTGAGAGCTGATGTGTAGTGAGAGTACTGGTGCACTACGGCTGCTGTCACATCATCCAGGTGGGGCTGCACACTGGTGGTGGTGGAGGTGAGTCCCCATTACCTGTAAAGCGCTTTGAGTGGAGGGTCCAGAAAAGCGCTATATAAGTGTGAGGAACAATCGCTCTCCATCAGAGAGGTGCACAGCTCGCGGCGGATACCTTGGCGATGGAGAGGGTCTGCTGCTCCATCACCTCGTGCAGCACCGAGCGCGTGTTGTCGCTCATCTTGTCGAACTCGTCGATGCAGCAGATGCCGTTGTCGCTCAGCACGAGGGCGCCGGTCTGCAGCACCAGCTGGCGGGTCTCGGGGTCCTTGGTGATGTAGGCCGTGAGCCCCACCGCGCTGGAGCCCTTGCCCGAGGTGTACTGCCCGCGGGGCACCAGGTTGAAGACGTACTGCAGCAGCTGGGACTTGCTGGTGCCGGGATCTCCGCACAGCAGGATGTTGACCTCCGCGCGGAAGTTTCCTCTCCCGGTGTGGCTGAAGTCTTTGCGGGTGCCTCCAAACAGCTGCAGGAGAATTCCCTGGAAACAGATGCTAATAAATACTCCTTATACTTACATAGTGCTTTTCCGGACACCCCACTAAAGAGCTTTACCAAAGTGCACTCAGCACACACCAGCTATCAGTAGGGAGGAGAACAGAGTGATGACGCCCATTCATAGATGGGGATTATTAGGAGACCATGATTGGTAAAGCCCAGGGGGGAGTTTGCCCAGGACGCCGGGGTTAATGAAGGTTTAATAACACCCAAATAGAAGACACAATGGCTCAGCCCTGATGTCAGTGCTCTCTGTTGTTGGTTTTTCAAAGGCAACTTCACATACGTCTTCAAACGGTTCACTGCAATCCACCTGGACCTGTGCTGCTTTTGGCCTTGATTAAATTCCAGCCTATCCTGTATAATTAAAGGCTGAGTACCATATTCTATTCAAAGCGCACAGCCAACATTGTGGCCTCTGTTAAAAACAGTCAGGACTTTACGAAAACTTCATTGCTCTAACTGCAGACATTCGGCTTAGCTTCATTCAGCTCACATATTTAAGCCTGGGTTATTCAGTGTCATGAGTCTCGGCTGGCTTTTAACTGGGGAAAATGAAAGCTGACAAGATTGTTTCCACTCCTCCGTGAACCTTGTAAAATTACAGAGGTCCAAGGAGCGATACAACAACAAAAAAAAAAAACGGATCGCAAAAGAACGTAATTGTTTACCCACCTCCAAACAGAACAAATTAAGCATAGCTCATGCTAGGAGGATTAACCATGTGGGAGCCTGAGTGACCACATCTTCAATCCACTATCCTCTGACACAAGCTATTAACTGAGTCTTAAGAGCAACATGAGCATGAGAACAAACTCTTATTAGTAGTTTAGTGTGCACGTCCTTGGCAGACTGCTGCATTTCACACTCGCATACACCGGGTTAACTAGGGGGCAAAACCATTGCCAGTGAAAACTGCTTCCTATAACATCCCCCAATTCTTCACGGGATCAGGCATTTGTAATATGGGGGATACGGAAATCATGAAGTGTCAACAATTTTGGAGAGCTTCCTGCAGGGGGAGAAGATTTAACATCCAGCGGAGGATTTTGACCGCAGCTCTGAAACCAGGGTGCACGCAGGTGCCTCTGTACAGGAGAGGGTCTCTGAATAAGTTCTAGGCCAGTGATCTCCAACCCTGGGAGGCCTTGGTCTCTGCTGATTTTAGTTCCAACTCAGCCGTTAATCACTGCTGTTAACGGATACATTTAATTGATGTACTTGATTACTTTAGAATTCAGTTGACCTTTTTCTGCACACCTTCCTCGATTTAAAAATAGCCCACTTTTACATATTTATTGAGGGTTTATACCCTTATTTCTCCCTAAACAGCTCTTATTAGACAACAGTTTATGATGAACAGACAGGAGACAATGGCAATGTATCAAATGCTCCAATTTAATCCGATTGTTTTTTTTTTTTACTTCTGATCCACCTGGTTACTTTTCCGCAAATATACCCCGATAAACAAAGCTCTAAAACTCAGAAACCAATACAGTGCCGACATCTTAAAAATGTACTGCTGAAGCAGCAAACGAAAACGAAACAGCTTGCGATGACACCATCTGGTTGGACAAAAAGCAGGATTTCCCAGGGGGGCTAGACGAACCGAAGGGCTTCCTTGTTCGTCACCCATTAGGTCTTACTGCCAGTTTTAGTGGCTGCCAAGCTTTAGTTGTTTAGAGTAGTTTGAATTCACAGGGACAGCACTGTGACAATGGCCCTCATTCTCTCTTTTACCAATTTGGAAAAGGAGTGAGGAAAAAAAAAACACCAAGCACAAAGGTTGGTCTGCAACCAGCTGGGACAGGAGTTAGCCGAGACCGGGGATGTCCCCAAGACCGCCGCTGGGTAACCACCGCTCTCAGAAAAGGCTTCTCGGGCCAGCCCCCTCTGCCCGCCAGCGGTGCACCCACCTTCTTGATGTCCTCGTGCTCGTAGATGCTGGGGGCCAGGGCGGAGGAGAGCCGCTCGTAGACGTCGGGCTTGGCCGCCAGCTCCTTCAGCGTCTGCACCCGCTCCTCGGTGAAGAGCTTCTGCTCCAGATCCTCGTCCAGCCCGTGCAGCCGCTTCTCGTCCGTCTTGCGGAAGTGGATGGCGTCGATGTGCGTCTTGTACACCGACTTCACGTTGCTCTGCCGCGGGTTCAGCCGCATGGGGACGGCCCTGTAAATGCCTG